TGGCCTCCCACTCTCCCTTACCCAGCTCCCAAAGCGCCTGCGGAAATCTCTGCAAAGGAGTCCGACTGGTTTGGGGAGGGCTGGGCGGCCACTTCTCCTTCCTGCCGCCCACCTGCCCACCCGCTGCCGGAGCCCAGGCCTCCGCCTGCCAGGAGGCGTGGGCTGTGCAGTTCTGGAACACAGAGCCGAATACCCACGCAAGATAAAGGGACCACTAGTGCCGCCTCAGCCCAGGCCCAGCCCTTGTGCAATCCAGATCTCTGCTGCACAGAGACAGCCACAGGGATGAGCGGATATGCTTATCTGATGGGGCCACGAGGCCTCCAGATGACTCCCGGGGCTGCGTTCTCTTAATCAGGCTTTGGGCTCCTCACTGCCATGCAAATGTGCCTGCTTTTGGGGCAGGTCCTCATCCTCCTTCCAGTCAGTCAACACTTATTAGGCACTTTCTGTGTGCCCAGCCCTGTGCTGAGTGCTGGGGACACAGAGGTAAATATGACAAAGTCCCCACCCCATGGAGCTCACAGTCTGAGGGGGACAGGGCAGATACATAAAAAAAGACAATGGTCTCAGGAACGTGGGTGACTCTCAAAATCGTGATGTTGAGGAAAAGAAGCCCAATAAATAATACACCGCATGATTCCACTTATAGAAAATTCTAGAGAACACAAACTAATCCACGGCCACAGAAAGCAGATCAGCCACAGTTGGCAGAGTTGGCAGGCGATGGGAGTGTGGCTAGGGATCCGAGAGGAATGAAGGGCAACAGGACACGAGGACACCCCTGGGGACGATGAATACGTCTGCCACCTTGATTGTGCTGGTGGTTGGGGAGTGCGTGCATATGTCCAAACTCAGCCACACGAACACTGGGGTATGTGTGGTTTACAACATGTTTGTTACACCCCAGTAAAGCTGTTGAGGAAAAAAGAGATGATTAAGGGCAGTGTGAGCAGTGCAGCAATGGGGAAACTCAGGAAGGTCCTGGAGGTGGATGGAGAGGGTGGTCAGGGAAGGCTTCCTGGAGAAGGCAACTGCTGAGCAAAGTTTTGAAAATGAAAACGGCTCACATGAGGAATGAAGAAAAGACAGTGGTGTTAGATTCCAGACAGTCTGAGCTCAAATCCTGGCTCCTGTGGATTCACAAAAAGCTGTGTGTCTTTAACTCATCTCTCTGAGACTCAGTTTCCTCATCTGTGAAATGGATCTCCTATTTACCTGATAGGACTGGTGGGAGATTGAAATTATGGAAAGGCCTTGCTGTGTATCCAATGCTCACAGCATCCGCAAACGCCGTGAGGCAGGAGAGGAACAACAGAGAGGAAGTCTGTGGCTGCAGCAGGGAGAGGAAGGGGAGAATCAGGGGGTGGGAGGGAAGGCCCCGGGGACCAGGGTGAGGCTGGAGCTGTCTCTCAGCACCGGATAGCCAAGGCAGGGCTGGGAAAATGCAGGGGAGTTTTATCAACAAAGCTGTCCTTTTAACAAGGTCACTCTGATTATTACAAAAAACAATTTTACAGTTGGGAAAACTGAGGCTTGAGCAGAGGATTGTTCTGAGGTCCTGTGGAATCACAGAGCTAGAAGGCAAGTGGTCTCCCAACCGCCCGAGCCGCTGTAATTCTCTAAGCAGATGAAGGGCTGTTATCCAGGTCTATCTGCACATCTGGTGATGGAAATTCACAATGTTAACAGTTCTTCCGATAGTATCCAATTAAGAGAGGCTTCTTAAACCGGACCCAGCTCTTCCTCCTGCCCTGCCCAGACAGCAGCTGCTCCCCTGCCAGAGCCACGCTGGGAGGAGCCAGCTGTGGGCGGGAAGGAAGTGGGAAGAGGTGTGAGCTGTGACAGAGGCTTTCTGGGTGCTGCCCCCAGCGCCCTGCCACAAGACCCCGGGACTTGCCCATCCCTTCTCTGGGCCTCAGTTTCCCCATCTGTAAACGGGGAGATGCTCGTGGCTCCACCATCTCCTTCCAGCTCTCAGAAGCAGACTTGGCCTGGCAGAAGTGGGGCGGGCATGGGGTTCACCAGTATCACCCGTCCACCCCCATCTTGGGAGCCAGGGCCAACCTCGGGGCAGGAGGCCCAGGCCCTGTCTGGGGATAAAGGCCGGTGCCCCAGGGCGCAGCCGGCTTAATAACAGGTTCCAGATCCAAGAGGGGTTTGAACCCAGGAGAATAGGTTCAAACACAATTGAGCAGCCCACGTTCCTGTCTGTAGCTCTGAAAGCCAATCGTTCCCACACCCAGGGGGCCCGGTCCCCACTCTCATCAAACCCATTCACCCCGGTGGAGCCCCATCCATGTGCCTACCGCGTGCCAAGCTTCCCAGAAGATGCAGGCTTCTGATTCTGACCATGAGCTCTGGACCTGCCCTGGTCCCCAGTCCCCTCCTCACTCAGTCCTCCACAGGCCAAGCTGAGCCCGGCCTCGAGGGCTTCCCACTTGCCTTTCCTCCTGCCTAGAACTCTCTTCCTGCAGACCTGCCATGGCAACTCCTCTCCCGGTCTCTGGCCAGGCTCGCCTTCCAGCGAGGCCTCTGACCCCGCCCTGTCACTCTCTGTCAACCCCTGCCTTATTTTTCTCCATCAAAGTCTTCACTGGGATGTCCTGATCCTCTGCCTGGTGTGTGTCTCTCCCTAGATTTGGAGCTCTTAGGCAGCAGAGTCTAAGGCTGCCCAGGGGCTGGCTCTGATGTCACCAGGCCCAGGCCAGACCCAGCCTGGCACCCACTTCACAGTGTAGGTTAAAGAACAAATGAGGCCGGGCGCGGTGGCTCCCACCTGTAATCCCAGCACTTTGGGAGGCTGAGGCAGGCAGATCACCTGAGGTCGGAAGTTCAAGACCAGCCTGACCAACATGGAGAAACCCGTCTCTATTAAAAATACAAAATTAGCCTTGCATGGTGGTGCATGCCTGTAATCCCAGCTACTTGGGAGGCTGAGGCAGGAGAATTGCTTGAACCTGGGAGGCGGAGGTTTTGGTGAGCCTAGATTGCGCCATTGTCCCCCAGCCTGGGCAAAAAGAGTGAAACTCCATCACCCCAAAAAAAAAAAAAAAACAAATGAAACGGGCATGGGAGATTTTGCACCCACCTAGGGGACCCCCAGTGCTTGACCTGCATAGACTCTCTCATCTCCACATACAAGCCAGGGGGATGCATAGACCTGGACACAGATTCACTGCACACACCCCCAGAAAACACTGACACATACACAGGTGCACACACACACGCGCCCCCTCGTGCCCACCTGCCCTGGCCGCCACGCCAGTGCTGGGCACCCAGACCTCTCAACTTTCCCTCCTTTCACTGGGTGCCAGCTGGCCCTTTGCCAGCTCCTCTCCCCCACTTGACTGCCTGCCCTGGGCACCAGACTCATAAAGGATGAGGAAGGGCCTGGAGTGGGCTGGCTGGGCGCCATGTGAACGTGGCCCCTGGGGCCTTTGCCTCCCCCCGCTGCCAGACACCTGTGAATGAGTGTCATTACTGGGGACCCACCGGGCAAGCCCCAGCTTGCCCCAGCCACCCAGGCTGTACGTGATGCTGGGGACAGGGGCCAGGGAGTGGCGTCTCTGCCCTTCCGGACTCCAAAGCTCAGCTCTAGGTCTCTGGATCAGCAAAGATGACTTCCCACCTTCCACACAGATTCCAAACCTCAGGCCCGAAAGGCCCCTATAGGCTGAGGTTCAAGATGGACTCAGGAGACAAAGGAGGAGAAACACATATTAAGCTCCTACTGCATGCCCACTTGGTGCTAAGAGCTGGCCACTTTTATTTCCCACTATCAGACACTGTCTCATCCACTCACCCCTCTTCTGTTTTAGAACAGCAACTGAGCACCCACTGTGTACCAGGCTGTGTGCTAAACACATTTTATATATATATATATATATGTATGTATATATACACATATATATACATGTAAACTCATTTGTCCTTTCAGCAATCCTATGAGGTGGCATTTTACAGGTAAGGCTCAGAGAGGTAAAGCGTCTCACCCAAAGCCACACAGAAAATAAGGAGTGGGTCAGGAGTTAACCCAGGCCCCCTGGCTCCAGTGTCTGTGTTCTTAACCACTCACTGCTTTACACTACCTCTTCCATCAGTTCCACAAGGGCAGGGGTTTTTGTCACTGCTGTGTCCCCAGCACCCAGTCCAGGGCCTGGCATATCGAAGGTGCTAAAAAAAAAAAAAAAAATCGAAGGAATAAATGAGCGGATGAACGAGCGAACGATCTCACTGAGTTCTGAGGATGTCCTTCCAGGTGGTATTTATGGATGAGGATACGGAGGCTCAGAGAGGTGCAGTGACTTGCCCAGGCCACACAGTAAGTGTGTCACAGCACTGAGATTGGAACTAGGATGGGAGCTCTGCTCCTCCACCTTCTTCCCCTGCAGACTGCCCCCACCCCGGACTGTGGGCCACGTCAGGCAGACACACGCCTCTCTCCCTCTCCCGGCAGTCCTGGGATCCAGGCTGGGGTCTGCCTGCACACGGTGGAAGGAAATTCCAGCTCTTCCCCTTGGCCCCAAGGCCTTCTGAGAGGGAGACCCTGACAATACTACCCCTCACCCCGCCACTCTCCTGACTCCCATGCAGGGGTGAATTTCCCAGGCACGCCTGGCTCTCACCACTGTCCCAGGGCCTCCCCGTGTGCTGCTGCCCCTACTAGAAAGCTCTCCCAGTCCTGCCCAACCTCAGCTTGGAGGGCACCTCCTCTGCCGGGGAGCCATCCAGGTGGCCCCACAGCCTACAGCTCCCGGTGCTGGAGGGTGAACGCGGGGCCCACTCCTCCGCGGCCCGTGTTCTGGCTTCTCCAGGGGAGGTGTGCTGGATTGGGGAGCTGAACTCCCTCGATTCTAATGGCTGTCCAGCTGCTGACCTTCTGGGGGAATCTGGCCCGGGCCTCAGTGAGCTCATCTGTGAGATGGGGAAGCTCTGAATGCCATCTCAGGCAGTCTTACCGTCTCTCATGTCAGCTCCTGCCCAAGTCCCAGCCGCACCTGCTCACTCAGCCCACGAAGCCCTGCTGGCCCTCCAGCACCACCTCCTGCTGCTGTCCCCTCCTCACTCCTCTTTAGCCTCCTTGCCTTTCCTGGAACTCCCAAACCTGTTCCCACCACAGGGCCTTTGCACATGCAGTGCTGCTTCCTTCTGCTGGAAATCTCTTCCCCAGGTCCAGTTCTTCTCCTTCAGGCATCTGCTCCACATCGCTGCCTCAGAAAAGCCCTCTCTTGACCCACCCAGCTCCCAAACACCCTGCTGACTCCCATCACGGCTCTTCTCCCCAGTGAAATCCTCTCGTCTCTTCAAGTGTTTGCTCACCGATGTTCATCTCCTCCACCACAGTGAGGGCAGAGACCTTGTTCATTTCTGTGTCCTGGAGTCTGGCATACAGTAGGTGATCAAGCAATGGAGGTGGAATGAAAGGAAGAGCATCAAAGTGCTGCCCCGCCCTTGCCCACCTCCGGCCCCCAGCCCAAAATCAGGGACTGGGAACCAGGAGGCCCCACCTTTGCCAGCAGCAGGCACCCCCTCTGAGCCCCAGAGCCTGTCTGGTTCCCAGCCCCATAAAAACCACCGCCCTCACCTTGCCCTGGGGTGGCAAAGGGTGAAGGAGGCAGATGTGGGGCCCAGAGGCTGACCTGACATGGATTCAGAGGCCTGGGCCAGTGAAAGTCAGGGCTCATGGAGTGCCTTCTGCATGTCCGGGTGCAGTTTAAACACCCCACATTCACAGCCCTCACAGCAGTTCGGCAAGGTCAGGATGACCACAATCACCCTGCACAGGTGAGGAAACTGAGGCACAGTAGGTTGCAGCCACGTGGCCCAGGCTGTGCAGCCTGAGAAAGGCGAAGTCGGCATTAGAACCCGGTTCCCCCCTGACACCATAGCCAGCATTGGCCTCACCCACGGCAGGGCATGGAGACCATGTGGGTGCCAGCTATGTGCCACGTGCTGGTTCAGAGCACAGGTCCTGGAGCCAGACTGCTCAGTGCCTTAGGCAGGTGACTCAGCCCCTTTGTGCCTCAGTTTCTCCATTTGTGAAACAGTCCACATGGCACCTCCCTTGTCAGCTGCTGTGGGAAAAGAGGAAATCATCTCAGTCACACAGAGTGTGCCCTCATTGCATGCCTTTGGCAGAATTCATTCCCACTCTGAGCCTCAGTTCCCCCAGCTATCATATGGGGATTAAACTATGCCCCTGGGTTGCAATGCTGTGAGACGAACGCGCCATTTCCCCAGTGCCTCCCACACAGTGGACGCTTACTCAGCTCACTGTTCATTCACTGCCGTCCTCCGGCCTCGCTCTCCCCCTCTGTAATCCCAGATGGCTGCCCTGATCACCCAAGACCACAGCTAAGTCCCTGGGGCAAAGGTTCAGGGGTACCAGGGCAGCCCTGACAAGTAGGGATATCCTGGGGGCGGGGAGCACAGCAGAGTGGCTGGGATCCGGAAGCTTCAGGGGCCCGGGGTGACTCACCCGCTGGCCGGGCTTGGGGGCTGGGCTGCGGCCCCCTACGCACCCCTCTGGGCCCTGCCTTGTGCCCAAAAGTGCTGTGTCATGCTCCGTCATGTGGCTCCGGGTCATTGATACCCGAGTTCTGGGAAGCTTGGGCCGAGTTCCCGGAAGGGGTCAGCAGTTCAGTAAACAGATTGGCTGGTTCGTCGTCACAGCTGAGCCAGGCGGGCCTGCAGCTCAGGAGGCGGGAGATGGAGGCTGGTGGCCAAGGGGACACAGGAACCGCCCCCAGCCCCTTTCAGGGCTGACATCTCCCAGGGCAGCCTGGCCCAGGCTCTGCAGATGAAAGGAGAAACCAAGGCCCAGAGAGGGGAAGGCGGTTGCCAGAGATCACACAGTGGGTCTGGGGCGCGGACCTAGAATTCTGGTCTCATCATCCAGTGCTCTCAGCATCATGCTGACTGATGGGTGGGAGGGGCCAAATCACCCCAAATTGTAACCTAAGCCCCCCAACCCTCCAAATCCTAACCTGGACCCTAAGGCCAGTGTGTTGGATGAAGGGAGAAATAAATGGAAGGCAATTTGGGAAGGAAGCAGGTTTGAGGGAATACTGGGCTGTCCCATGTGGTAGATCCTATAATAACTGCTTCTAGTGTTTCTTGAGCATCTACTATGTGCAGGGCACTACCCTAAGTGCCCGTCATAAATCCATTATGCAAATCAACACAGCCGTTATGTTTAAAGCATCCATGGAGTGCCAGGCACTGAGCTGGGTAAGTGACATGCACCCGCCGGGATCCTCTGTGGACCCTGCCAGGCAGGCATCACCATCACTCCCATTCATCAGATGAGGAAACAGATGCCCAAGAGGGTCAGCAGCTGTGGCTTTTGGTGGGAGGAGAGCAGGCTCCAGAGACAACTGGACCCAGGGAATCAAATCTTTACTTTGACCATTGCTGCTGTATGGCCTCATGCAAGTGACTCTATCTCCCAGAGCCTCGGTTTCCCCATCTAGTAAATGGGGATGATATGGTACTGGAAACACTGGAGCCAGACTCGGTGGGAACACGTGAGTGTTATGACAGCGCAGCGGCTGGAGCGCGGACTTCCAGTTTGAATCCTGCTGTGCCCCTTCTTGGCTGTGTAATCTGGGGCAAGCTGCTTAGCCTCTCTGGGACTCAGTGTCCTCTGTAAAATGGACATAGCACCTCCCTCATGTGGCTGGCGGGAAGAATGAATGAGCAGAAATCCCCGAAGCCCTCCGTGTAAGGCCAGGTATTCCAAAGCGACGGAACGAGGGTGACTTGTTCTTTAATATTGACTATGATGGCTCCACTGCAGTGAGGTGAAGGACCCTAGACCATGGGCAGAAGGATGAGGGACCCACATTCTTTGCTGCCCTTTTTTTTTCTGAGACAGAGTCTCTCTCTGTTGCCCAGGCTGGAGTGCAGCCCAGTGAGCGATCTCGGCTCACTGCAACCTCCACCTCCTGGGTTCAAGAGATTCTCCTGCCTCAGCCTCCCAAGTAGCTGGGTCTACAGGCACATGCCACCACGCCTGGTTAATTTTTGTATTTTTAGTGGAGACAGGGTTTTACCATGTTGGCCAGGCTGATCCTGATCTCTTGACCTCATGATCCACCTGCTTCAGCCTCCCAAAGCGCTGAAATTACAGGCGTGAGCCACCGCGCCCGGCTCTTAGCTGCCTTTTTGCACCCACAAACAATCTGGAAAGAGAAGCTCAGCCTTGTCTGCCTCCTTGAGGCTCAGGGTTGAGGCTTGTCATGAACGGTTGCCTGGCATCCTCCCCACCTCCCTGCCAGTCACCCTGCCCTGCTATGGACTCCACATCACTCCCCTGCCTAAAACCCTCTAGGGCTCCCCATTCCTCTTCACATGCACTACTCCCCAGTCTGGCCGGGCCCCAGACAGGCCTTATCGTGGCTCTTTGGTTCTTGGCACCCCAGCCCCAGCCCCAGCCCCCTTGGTCCAAACCCTCGCCCCCATCATTCCGACCTCACACTTGTGCATGCGTACGGCCCTCCACCTGGCATGCCCTCACTTTCCCTAACCCATCTGCCTGGTCTGGATTTCACCCACCCTTTGACATACATATTCAAAACTTCCTCCTCCAGGGAGCCTGCCCTGATCCTCCCCTCTGAAATCGAACTCTTTCTAGACTCTCCGTTGAAACCTCATTTACATCTATCATTATATATCAACTATTTTTGTCTATCACCTCAAATTTTGGCAGCTGTGAGGCAGAAAATTTGCACAAGAGAGATTTGGGGAGAAAAATATTGCCCCTAAAATACTTAAACCTGCTGGCCAGGTGTGGTGGCTCACAACTGTAATCCCAGCACTTTGGGAGGCCAAGACAGGTGAATCACTTGAGGTCAGGAGTTGGAGACCAGCCTGGCCAACATGGTAAAACCCTGTCTCTACCAAAAAATACAAAAGTTAGCTGGGTATGGTGGTGCACGCCTATAGTCCCAGCTATTCAGGAGGCTGAGGTGGGAGAATCGCTTGAACCTGGGAGGTAGAGGTTGTAGTGAGCCGAGATCGCACCACTGCGCTCCAGCCTGCTGGGCGACAGATTGGGACCCTGTCTCAAAAAAAAAAAAAAAAAAGAAAAAGGAAAACCGGCTACGTTGAAATTTTAAAATCTGTAATTAACCCACTCACTCTTTACAATTCTATATTAAATTTCTAATTTAATATTTACCCAAAATATTACAAAAAGTTCGAGGTGTTTGTAAACAGTCTGCGAGTGAGAATGTTCCTTGTTGGGCAAACATTCCCTGGTGTAGGCAGGGTTGCCAAGAACCTGACGTAAGTGATAAAATAAACGCACTGCTTGTCGCCACGCAAGTTCGGAAGTGAAATTACTAATATTATTGAAACGTTTGGGTGATTTTTCCAGCCCTCTTTTGGGTCCGATCTGCCCTTCCGTCTCCGTGTATTCCCTGTCAGCCTCATCGTCCCGTCTCCTTTGACTGCTTTTCCAGTTCCCCGTCTTCTTCTCTGCCTCCACCCGGAGCAGCCTTCCCTATTCCCACCACACGCGCTTGCCCATGCTCCTCCACCCCCTGGAATGCCCTCTCCTCTTTTTTGTAGGAATCTGACCCTTCTTCAGAGCTGAGTCCAAGCGCTGCCTCCCCAAGGCACCCCATCCAGCCCAGAGCCAGGAGCGTCGCCAGGCTCAGAGGCAGCTGTGCGCTCCCGCTGCCAGCCCCTCATCTGCAAAATGGAAGGGCTGCAGGATAATGGAGGCCTCAAACTCACGGCCCTCGGGCCGAATCTGGCCTGTATATGCATACATTTGCCCTAACACTTAAAAATCAACAGGTTTCATAGAACAATCTCCATCGAGCTTGCCCAACCCGCAGCCTACAGGCCACATGTGGCCCAGGACGGCTTTGCATGTGGCCCAACGCAAATTCATGTTTCTTAAAACGTTATGAGATTGCTTTCACAATTTTTTCTTTTTAGCCCATCAGCTATCGTTAGTGTCAGTGTAGTTTACGTGTGGTCCAGGGAAGCCAAAACATTGGACACCCCGGTCTAGATTCACAGCTTCTCACGGAAGACTGTCAGTCCTGGCCTTCCCACGTGACCACGCTAGCAGGAAGTGAGCAGTGTCCACCCCTTTAGACAGGTCCGCGGCCTCTCCTACCACTTCACCGCCAGTACAGCTTGCCCTGCCCTGGCAGCACCTGAGTTTGGCTTTTTTCAGTCTCAGAATTCCTTCTCTTATTTTATTATAATTTTTGTTATGATTTATTCATTTTCTTTTAGAGACAAGGTTTCGCCATGTTGCCCAGGCTGGTCTCTAACTCCAAGGATCACACAACCTCCCATCTCAGCCTCCCAGGATGCTGGGATTACAGGCATGGGCCACCGCACCTTGCCACGAGGCTGTGTTTTGGAACCAGTCCTCCAACGAGGCTGATCTTCTGACTCACTTGAAACAGCATCTTAGCGTCTCCTGGTCTGCTGGCAGGGAAAGGCCCCCTGCCCACTTGTCCCCATCTTTGCCCCTAGAAGAGACCCCTCCACAGCGTACATCCTCGGGACACTTAAATTCTTTGAAGCATAGGGTGAAAAACTCAGTATCCCCTGAGGCCAGGTTGTGACCACGCCAGGTTCTGGGCCCTGCCCCAGACCTGTGAAGTTGCATGTGGAGGAGAAACCTTCTCACGTGGCCCCTCAAACCAGTTCCCCACCTCAGCAGACAATCGCACCTGCACCCAACGTCTCCCACGCCCAACCCAACCAATCCAACTGGCTGTGCCCGCCAAACAGAATCCAGCCCCTTTGCACCTCTGCTGCCAACACCCCCCACCTGTCCGGGACTAGGGCAGTCGTCTCTGGGTTCCCTGCCTTCATCACAGCCCCCTCGCCCCCCACGGCCCACACCCCCCATTTGCAGCCAGATAGATCCTATACCCAGGGCACATCCTGCGATGTCTGGAGATCATTTTAGTTGTCACCACTGGGTTTGGGGAGAGGGTGTGACTGGCACCCCCTCCAGCGGGCAGGGCCAGGGACACTGCTTAACACCCTTCTCCGGACAAGATGACCCCGCTACAGAGCAACATCCAGCCCCAAATGTTAATGGTGCCGAGGCTGAGGAACCCAGTGTTGGAACCTAAGTCAGGCCATCTCCCTCCTGTGCCCAGAGCCCTCCAGTGTTGCCACCTGACTTGCAATAAAATTCAAACTCCTCCTCCTCCTTCTGTGGCCCTCAGGGCCTGGATGACCTCTGGCTCTCCTTCACTCTCCCTTACAATGCAATCTTGTCCAACCTCAGGGCCTTTGCATCTGCTATTCCCACCACCTGAAATGCTTTGTCCCAGGCATCTTTGTGGCCAGCCCCTTCAATTCCTGCAGACTCAGCCCCATTCCCCATTGATCTCACTAGGGGACATGCTATGCCTTTCACTTACTTGTCCTGTCTCTGCTGTCTCCCCCTCCCAAAACCTAACAGCCATAAAGTCAGCACATTAGTCCATTTTGTTTCCTGCTGGCTCCCTAGTATTTTAGCACATACTAGATGCTCAATAAATCCTTCCCGAACCAGCAGATGACTTGGTGTACCAGCCTGCTGTACATTTGAATTTTAGAATTGCAGAGGTTTAGTACCCTGAGAGCTGGTGATTCCTTTGTCCTGGAAGGAAGAATTCTACAGTTCCCGGACTCCATGATCTGAACCAT